TCTTAAGTAATTAATACGGGTGTAGTGTTCTGAACAACACTTGTATTTATAAGTATGTACATTTTGCTGTTTTGACCATAATAGTCATCATCAAGTTCAACTTTACACTATACTTCTGAATCAAACAGTATGCTTTTACAGTTATGAAGTCTCTAATAATGTATTGAAAAAGTTACCTCTGTTTCAGTTTCTGTCCATTGCATTTTTTGTTTTGACCTACAGTAAATTATCTTTTCATCAAAACCACAATTCAAAACCGCAGGTACCTTCAAAACCTTGCAGTGGGGTCATTTCTCTGCCTTATTGTCTTAGAGTTATTATGTGTTCCAGTATTAATCGTTAGGGTTTGTCTACACCAGGGGTGTCCAGTCCTGTTCCTGGAGGACTGGTATGTCTGCAGATTTTCATTCCAACTCAGCTCATTATAAATTGGACTAATTTAACAACTTCTCTCAGCTCTGCAAGTGCTGGTGGGTAGGTGCACCAGAGTAGATTCTAGCAATGTGATACATGGCAGTTGGGTAGATAAGGAAAGATGTTAAACAAAAGATACCTTGCATCATAGTGGCTGAATTGAAGAATGTTTTCAAATATTGACCACGCCTTTGCATAAGTACTTGTAGAAAAAGAACAAAAGTCCAAAGATCACAGCATTGGCTATGCATTATAATCAGTAAGTTGTTCCGTGTGTGCTTGTGGCAATGTTGAGTTTTTATATAAAAACATTCTTCACGGTCATTTTCAGCTGCAGAAAAGAGTTGGATATTCTGTACATTATACAATATATATAAAATAAAAGGGATCATTTGCATACTGTAGAAAAGATAGCAGATTCTAAATTCAGGTTATTTTTAAATATTCCTTCCTGGGGAAAAAGCCCAAAGTGAAAAACAGCACATTGTCTCTGCAGTATCTGCTGTATTAGTTGTGTGCTGGTGATGTACTAAAGTAGTGATGTACAAAAAAAGCTACACTTCTTGTTGGTCTGTTTGGGCTCAATAAAAATGAATGTGACACTTGCTTTAAGAAGGCCTGAGCCAAGCCCTTTAATAGTCTTCTTTTCTTCTCTCCACCTTGGTCTAAAGGTAGTAAATGTTAACTTTTTTTACAGTACTTGGCTCTAACATGTTTTGTTGCACTTAGCTTTTTAGTTTTAGTAGAGACTTAGAATGAATTGACTCTAAGAGATGGCTGGCATCCAGGTAAATCCTGTAGGGAACTCCTTAATAACGGTATTACAGTATTATAGCATTCACAGCTAGGACTTTATTATTTAATTTGCCTAGTTGAATGTACATTCTCCTTGTATCTTTTTTCTAAATTGAGGGGCAATAAAAATTGCTCCTATTTATTTGTGTGTATCTGGATCATTGTTGCCTAAGAAAAAAAACAAGAACTTTGATCTGTAAATCATTAAACCAGATCCCTTGATCTTATGCAAAAAAGAAAATAATCGTTTTTGCTTTCACAGCAGTGCTGGACAGTGTAGTGAGACTGCGTGTGTGGGGATTGTGTCCCCATGCTTACAAAGCGCGAGCAGGTCTGGTCTGCTGATATTGGCAGAGCCAGAAAGATTTATTTTGCTGTTAAGTCTGTTCATTCACTAAGCGAAAAACAGTCATGAGAAAAGAAGAAACAGACAGTAAGTATAAATCATTGTAATCACTTTCCCAGCAGTTCAGGTGAATCACGTTGTTGCATCATGTCTAAATACTGTTAACCCTTACAGTCCTTAATTGTGGCATAGAAAATAAATTATTTACCTGGTTTTGGATTTTTCTGGATCCAGAATTTCCTGTCATCCTGTACTGTACAGTTTTGTTTTCATATAATTTTATTGGATGGGTATGGTGCGTATCAGGTTTAATTTATGGTTGTGGCTTTTGTGGGAAAAAAAATGAGAAACATTTATTTAGAATTTAGTGGTCTCACCAGATAATGTGATATATTTTAACATTTAATCTTGAGCCTACTCTCTTTTTAAGGGTGCATTATCCTTGAGGTTTTTTTGCTTGAAAAATATGGTGTTTTATTTTTGCGGGCAAAACATTTTCAAAGTTCTGAAGTAAAAACTAAATCTAAAGTTCTGCAATGTCTGGAATATTATTGAAATTATTAGGGTACTGCTGCTGCTATTACATGATGTTACAGATAATTCCAGAAAGACCTTGATGCCAAGTTTTCACTTAATTCGGACACATATGGTGGTCATTTGTCATGCTGGAAGTACAGTAATATTTTGAATTTGTTGTGTTTCATTGCTTCCAACTGTTCTCAATATGTTCTAGGAACCTGTATACTGTAGGTCTGTTTTAATTGCTATTTATTTTGAATTGATATTCTTTCTGTAATTTTGGTAAACTTTTCTTACATTTTCTCTTGCAGATGTGACATGACGTTTGTTTTTCTCCTGGGGATCATAATGTTTTCTAAACATTTTTTAAAAACCTCAGGGAGCTGTTAACAACACAGAAGTAAAATGAAAGAGAAACAAAGAGCTCATTCAACTGGCCCAATAAAAATAAGGGCACAACTAGATTACATATTAAAATTTATGTTGTAAAGATAAGAGTCTTTAAGAGTTTTAGAATTTTTGACAGTCACCTCTTGGTAGATACTATAGCTAATATTCTGATGTGCATAGAAGAGTTTGATGCACGAAAATGAAATGGGGTGGATTTTTGAAAATTGGTTTGACCCAATTAAAATTACAATGTATTAAGATAAACAAAGAGTCTCATATTTTGTAGCATTTTTAATCACAGGAATTATTTGCCGTGTTTAATGGCAGGAAGTATTTTTCAGTTTTGAAACTAGTTGTCTTGACAGTGAAATGTCTCTGAAAGTTCAAACCAGTGGGAATATTTCTAAACACTCATTGCAAATTTTAATTTTAATTTTAAGACAGTTACCCGCGTAAACATGGTTTTTGAAGGGGATATGTACTGGTGTGAAAATCAATGCAATTTTTTCTTCCTCTTGGCTGTGATGTTCCTGTAAGGCCTTCCCCTGCAGAGGCCTAACATTCTTGTTCCCTCATGCATTTAAAAAAAATCTTTTTCTGGTCCTGTCTGACGTGTGATTGCTGGGACAGCTGTAGGGTTTCTTGGGAAGCGATTGTGTTGGAATATTCATAGCCACAACGAGCCATGGTTGTCATCCTGCAGTGGGTTCCCAATTTCAAATGAGAACAAGACACTTTAAAATCGGATTCAATTAAAACCCCCTGGCTGCCTTTCAGTTAGAAACCCCAAATAAGAGAACCAAGTGAGATAATCCAGTCCACCCGGTTTTGTTTATTTCTATGTCACATTTTAACACTTGAAAGCCCATTTTGGAATGAGTGACAGAACCTTTGGGTTCAGTCATGTGTTTGACGGTGTTCCTTTTCTATTTTCTGATGAGATATTGTGAGTGGCTGGAGAAGTACTGCTTTTATTTATACAACTGTAAAAGATTTAGAAGTTTTCAATTGTGCTTTACGGACACGCACAGTATTCCATGAAACAAGAAAAGAAATTATGCTGAACTCTCTAGATGGCCAGTTCACCTTTATGACATGACAGGTTAATGTTTAGTAGTTAGCCAAACAAAGGTGGGCCACAGAGTGGAAGACCTTGCCTCTCTTGATGGCCATAGTCTGCAGAGCTCTGTGAAAAGCAAAGAGAAGCCACACTCCTGGGACACCGTAATGCCAGTTTTGGTGAGGTCTGACATGAACAACACTCGCTTCTTTGATAAACTCGTTCAGAAGGTGTGTGACTCTTAATCAGTGATGTGGTTCGTAGTTTTCATTTTGTGGAGCTACTTTTCTCTTCATTCTTTTGTATTTTGTCTATGTGAGGATCAGTATTTTGCTTTATTTGAAAAGACAGTAATGTTAACAGGTACAGTTAAAACCTGCTAAAGCATCAGTTGGTTAAGTAATGTTATTTGATAGCATTACCATGGAGATTTATTTTCTTCTAGTAAAAAATATAATTTTGTGTAGTGAGGGTATGAAATGGATTGCTTGTGCAATTTAAGATGGAAGCATGTACCTTATAGCCTTGATGGAATTGAATTGCTGGAGGAAATAGTATTTATTAAAACAGGACACAGAGTCATGTATAGAGAGTTTTTTTTGTCAATATACCGCAGGAAAGCTGGCTAAACCAGTTTGGTCCAGTTACAGCCGTAAACATGTTTCTTCAGTTGTTCTGAAGTCCCACAGAACGTGCAGTTCAGAACTGGAACACAGGGCTGAGCATGTGGGAAGCCTGCACATAACTCATCCCTTGTCAAGGCTGTCTGTCGGAGCAACACAGCTTTAAGTGATCGGAATAATTTGTTCTCCATTAGTATTATTATTGCTTGTATCATAATAATGTTGTTTTTTATAGGTTTAGGAATACCAAAATATTTGCATAATATTAAGCCAAATGGATGTTTGACTTGCCAGATGCTGTAAATAGTACTTGTTGAAACAGGCTTTTTTGCATATTTTATAGTGGTAATTGAGCTGAAAGGAGGATAATACAGTAGGTGCATTGGCAGTGCAGGACATGAACATAAATTAGGAATAGTGATAAAAGTCAAGAAGGTGGTTTGTTAGTATTTGGAAGTAGCTATAAGAATTCACCCCAGTATTAGCGGCCTTTAGAATGTTAGTATTTTGTGTGCATTTTGTTGTACTAAAACTGTCATTGATATTAGTTGCTCACTGTTAGACGGAAGTATACATTGCAAGCAAGATTTTTGTGCTTCACATGCAAGAAATAGCAGCACGTTATTTAGAACTGATCATGCTTGACAATGATGTTATGAGTTTTGACTGCGTAACCTAACTAATTGTGTGCAAGTCTAGACTCTGTGTTTTTGAACAGCTGTTTCACATATTTGTATTAATCTTAAGATCTGCAATACCTTACTCTTACTAGTCACTCTGATTGGAAAAAAGTTGCTCACATAATCAAATAAGGGTTTGTTGCTGAACTAACTTGGTGTTTCATTTTGTTCAGCGAGCGGCTCCCTTGTGCCAGAGGGCTCCCAGAGGAAGGCGCTGCAGAAGGAGTGAAGTGGGCTGAGCTGGGCCTGCGGTGACGCTGTGTTCCTCTGTGCGCGAGAGGAACAATTTGCCTGTCATATCAGAAAACATAACATTGATATGCAAACTCTACACTCAGCAGCCGTTTACTCAGGAAATTCTTCCATCTCAGAAGATAGGTTTTCCTTGCCTGGGTTTCACAGCTGGAACAGTTTTATTGCTTGTTAGCAGCACATGTGCTGCAAGCATGCAGGGTCTGCAGGCTGTTTAAAGTCGCTGCTTGGTCTGAAAGGTGATTTCCAACAAGGCAGTCTTTCCCTAGATGGTCTGTGACATGAAGGTGAGTGAGGAGACCCAGAGGACTATATCTGCCCTGCATGTCGCCATGACCTCTGAAGACGCTGGTGTCTCTGTGCTCGGTGCCTTGGGTCAAGTGAGAATGGCATCTGCCTTGTCAGCTGGGACCACAAATAACTTGAGCACGGCAGACAGGAGTTTCTTTCAGAACCACACAGGCGACTTGGCTGGAGGTCTCCCTTACTGCAGCTCGGCAGTGGCCGGCGCCCCCTCCCTGTGCCCTGAGCCCATGGCCACTGTTCCGCCACACCCTGCCAGGGCAGAGGCAGCCCGCGACCGCAGCGCACGCAAGTTTTTGGACACAGAATCTGTGGCGTCGGATTCCGCCGGACACGTTGACAGGCTGGACCACTGCAGCTGCACGCAGAGGGATAGCACAAGCAGATTCGATTGCAACCAGCTGTGTCAGACATGTGATCCCGAGGAAGCTCGCAGAGCTTGCCAGGAGCTGGCCTCTCCTAGCGAAGAGTCCAGCAGCTTGCCTCAGCAAAACGAGCTGCAGTTGGAAGTGAAGGGCTTCTCTTTTGATGCTTCTTTGTTCGCGGGGGGTTTCCCAGAGGTGAGCTGCTTAGTAGGAAACACTTGCCACCTGGATTCAGGTGTCAGGCATGAAGTTGTGTCCTGTCAGTTCGGGACAAGAGGAACCAGCCCACCGCGGTTCTCGGACTGGGCTCCGGGCATGAGGAGCGCCTGTGGAGGTAGCCCACCATGGGTGGTGAAGCCCTGCCTGAACGTGACGTGTGACCTCTGGGTTGAGGATAGGCACTCTAGCTTGGAAAGGCGCCACAGGAAGAACAAACCCAAGTGCCCCGCTGACGGCCCCTGTGGCAGCCCACCTCCGGTGGGAACGGGCCTGAAGCAGACCGGCAGCCCCCAGAGCAATGGGCACGATGGCGCAGCAGAGTGGCCAGCGGGCGAGTTCGTCCGCAACAAGAAGGAACGCTCCACTCTTCTAGTCAGGAGGTATTACAAAAACAACAAGGAGGTGAAGAAATCAGTGTATACTGGCACGAGAGCCATCGTCAGGACTTTGCCCTCAGGACACATAGGAGAAAAAGTATGGGCGGCGGTTTCCAGAAAGAGGTATCATGTATGTAAAACACTGAGCAGGTCTTGGACTGAACGCACTGCTGAGCTGGAGGTGTTCAATTCTCGGCCTCACAGGATCCTCTACTGCCTGCTTTGGGCCAACAGCGGTGAGGTAAGATCATTTATTTTTCACACAACAAGCCAATAAAGGTTTATGTATTACTGTATGTGATATAGAAGCGGTGATGTCTGTTATAGGCAGCCTAATTATTAAAAAGGGTTAATCCTGTAAAGATGTGCTTTTCAGCTAAATGAGATAAATCTATCTCTGACCTGTACTGTTGTACTACAGGTACACTGTGTTAACCATTCAACATACAGTTGTATTGGAACATATTATTTTCTAACTGCTCCTTGTGATTTTAGTGAAAAATGTTCTAGGCTGAGAAGCACATAGAGGATGGGAAAGGAAGTAGTTATTCAAGTTGCTGATCTCTCTCACAAACACAAACTTTGCCCTAGTTTATTATTTAGAGTATCCGCTTGCAGTATGGCTTCTTTCACACACATCTCTGAGCTTCTGTTTGGAGTAATCAGGAAAAACTTTTAAAAAATGTCTCAAGCCTTCTATCCTGTGTTACAGGATGCTAAGTTGACTTGCTTTATTTTCTGTTACTAGCACCATAATACATACACGTGTAAGCCCATGCCTCTTTTACTGAATGGTTGTTATATTGGATGTTTTATTCATACTGCAGGTCAGATTTTCAGAAAGAATTGTTTGTTTTTGTTTTGTCATGCTAGAGAGCACCAAGTCCAGTTTCACGTGTAATACCTCAACAGTGTACTACTACAGAGGAGATATGATTAAGAAATGCAAAAGGAGAAGATTATCAGCAGGAGTTGAAAACCTCAGTACGGAATGTGTACAACTTTAAAACTATGCTTTTCTTTCGCTGGCTGTGTTCTCGTGTGGGGAAAGATGTGGCTAATCCACTTGGTTCTGTTCCATTGATAACTGTATGTGCAATTTAGAAAATGGGCATTAAAACTATCAAATGAGGATAGATTCCACTGGAAAACATCTTGTAACCATTTGCAAATGACATGAGTAATAGACTAGTTTCATCCTACGTAGTGTAGCCATATATCTGGAAAAAAGGTTACTTATTCTGACATAACCAAGCCTACAATTAATCATTTCAAGGATTTCCAGTTTTCATTTTAACACTGAGATTTTTGTTCTCCCAAACCCTTCATATTACAAGTCTACTCAAGTTGAGCTTAAAACACCACGTGAAGTGAGGTGTCATAAAGAAATATTTGCCATTTCACTGTGTAAACAAAAAAGGGACAGGACAGTTCAGTCTGAACTGTTCTTTAATTACAATAATAAAACTATAAATGAATTCTGGAATGCAAACTGGATTGATTGAATGCAAACTTGATCAATCAATCTGGGTTGAGAACCTGCTTTTCTAAGGTTTTCAAACAATACACAATTTAAAGCGCCACAGTTGTTCCCAGGTGTTGCAAAATCAGGTTATTAAATAACGGATCCAAGTGGAGTGATTTTTTTCATCTTGGACACTTTATGCATCACTGACCTGTGTGTTTTCTGTTTTCTTTATTCCTTCAATGCAAGACAGAATGAAAAGAGAATGTACTTCGTAGGTTGATCACCACTAAATGGCTCACTGCAATGTGTAGCCTAACTCTACAATACCCCAGATGATTTGACAGTGTCAAATGATTTGTATTGCCTGATAAACAAAGAGACAAACAGTGTAATGCTAGAGTTTCTGTTGAAAGACAGTAGATGTCCAAATTATAACCAAATCTGATTAAATGCCGCTTTTGACATTCTCAGGGGGGGATGGGGTTAAGCTTTGAGAGGGTTACAGAATTAAAAGCTTATTTAGGATATCAGATGCCAAAATGCTGCCTAGGCTAGTACTGTATTTTGGGATAACAAACTTGCCATGTAGAAATTTTAATACATCTTTGAAACATTGTTGTTTTGTCTCATTTTAAACAGTAGCTTTGGAGCTGAACAGATCTCATATGACAGTGGCAGTGCTGAGTCTATTTGCCAGTCTGTTAGAATAAGGTAATTGGGCACAACTAGAGGCATTGAATGCCTTGTTGTCCTTCTATATTGTGTGAATTGGAAGGAATTTCTGTAACTAATAGTAAGGTAGTCAGATACTTGAAAGTGAACATCTGGTTTTGTGCTACAGGAGGACACATTATTGTAGAATTTTGGAGTGCAAGGGGTATAATTGAAAGGGTATGTCATGCATTCAGTGTGGGGGTTCGGACTGCATGCTTTATATATGGTCTCACACAGAAAACTCCTTATAGTCACCTCCGACTGGAGAGAGAACACTCTTACGTAATCTTAATTTTATCCAGCTCAGTTTCCTTTTGAAAACACACAGTATTAAGATGAGCTATTTCTGCATGTCCACGAAGGACAAGGCCGTTCCAAGGGCAGATCGTGTGGGAGTACCTTTCCATGCTATTGTTGTGTCTTTCTCCAGGTTTTATACCTGCATCAGGAATCATTTTCACAATAAGTTTGAATGTATATCAGGCTGCAAGATGGGGCCTCTCGGAATTGACGAGATCTGGGTTATGGGATATGTTGCGAAAACCTTTATGCAGTGTTAAGTGTGCCTCCCCTTGTTAGAAACTGGAAAAAGCAAACTGCACATTCCAAAATCAAAATGAAAGACTAACATGTAGCCATTAAATTAATGTTTTATGAATAGCATTTAGTTTGAATTAGCATTTTTATTAATTATTATATGTGTAATTTTTTGTGTTCTTTCAGTGGAGCAGTAGAAATGTTATGATTATTCCCCTAGAAATAATGGAGTAGCTGGAAAAGATTTATACTTCACGTGGGTATAAAGCTGAGGCAGCAGATTCTGCAGATTATGGATTAATTTGTAGGGCACAAGAATGGATGTCTATTCAGAAATCCTCAGAGGCATTGACAAAGTCAACCCAGAGCAACCAATGTAATGTGAACCAGAGCATGCAAGAAACTACTGGGAAGTGTGTTTAGCCCTAAGATCAGGAGGCATATTTGTATGCAAAGGAACTGTAGGACAAACTACTCAGCCATGTTGTAGAAGCTCACACTTCAGGCTTCTTTGAAGAAGTGGATGAGATCCTTGCATCAATTAGCTACTAGGGATAAAAAAAGAGGCACAAACATGTCCTCATCTTATTTGTGACCTTTCTGATATTATTATGTTCAAAATGCAAGTTGGGATATTCACTTTCTATTGTTCTGAAATTGTATAAGCATTGACACTGCAGGAATGGGTTTTCAACTAATAAACAGAAAGTATTAAAAGTATTATTACCTCTTGCTAGTTATAGTACATGTGGGGCTTCCCAGAAAAGATTATGACTTAAAAGTTGTGAAGTGTCTTTAATGTCAGATGAAGATATGATGCTGGATAGAATGCAGTCTGAAAGGATGTTATTATAAAGTGAATGTGTAAAATGGTTCTAGAATTAATTATTCCAGACTGACAGTTCTCAATTGCAATACCTGTAGCAGCACTGAGACAGTAATCTGTAGACAGCACTGAGATTTGTGGTGTGAAATGCTTAGGAACATAATGAATTTGAGCCTATAAGAAAGGAGTTATTCATTGCTTGATGGGCACCTTAGGAGGAGTATTAAGGTTTCTGTTCAGACAAATCATAGCTTGCTGCTGTAGATGAATTATGGGTGAGAAACTTGAGGAATTGTTTAGGTGACCTCCAGGAAACCCTGCTCTGAAATATAATTAACCAAAGCAGACAGCACACGCTGCTTGCCAGGACTTTTTGACAGAATAAACCTCTGTTACTAGCTAGTCGTATCGCTTGGTGCAATTGCAACAAATGCTGTTTTTTTTTTGCTCTTGTGGTATAGAAATGTGGCCTGTATCAACTTTAAGCTCATTTCTTGAGCAATAATAAGACCATTGAAAAGATTAATAATCAGAACTCCTGTCAGAATAAAATCTTTAGTGTTCCTGTTCTGTTACCACAGAAACCAAACACATGCTATAGAAGGGTACTGTAAGTCTTTTGTGTGTTTTTTTAATAGGATGTGTTTTTTTGCTAAACTGTAGTCATTAAAGGTGATTTTTTATCCATGCTGTTCATCTTGATTTTCTAATAGGAATTCCAAATTCTCCAATGTATAGTTTTTATTTCCTCGGCTAGAGTGTTATGCCAAAACAAACACTGCTCTGCACTGGGAGAGCAAGGGAATAAACCACCATCACAGAACAGGTCTTAGCAGTAAAACTCTGTATTAACTTCTATCACTCTTGCTGCAGTAGGAAACTCCAGTTTACATTTTACTGGGGGTACTTTTGACTTGCTTATCAACAAGCGTGTTAACATTAATGAGTGCAGGATGAATAGAGGTTGGTTCTATAGAACTAATTTTGTGAGTCTGATCTGGGTGTGTAGCATGAAGGGTGGAAACACGGTGATTCCTTTGAGCCTGAAAAAATCAGAATTAAACAAGCTGCCAAATCCTGTTGGGATTTGAGACTGGTTCTGATCAGAACTGGCACAGGGGACCTCTTAAGGAAAACCAGGTTGCTGCTGTAAGTGGTGGATCAGTAGGCAACATTACCTACTGGTCAGTCAACCTGTAGGCACTGGTTGTTGAAGAAGGTTGGGCCTGATCATTACCAGGATGGGATAACCCTGAGAAAAACCCAGGTGGTTTGGTGGTGGGCCTGTAGGGGGCTCTCTTCCTTCTGGTCAAGAATTTCCAAACCAAGCCTCAGTATGGTGACGGGGGAAATTGTGCTGTGGGAGGTACTGCTGTCCTTTGGATGAGGTGTTGAACTGATTATGTTGTCTTTACAGATCCCATGGTATACCTTTTCCTGGCTTCACTTTCCCTTTGGTTTGACAATCTGGTCATTACTGTATGTGATTCATCTTGATCCAGCTGGTGGAGTACTTTCTATCTTCTCTACCGCATCTGCTTGGTAGTGGGGCTGCTGGTGCAGAACACCCGTCTCAGCTTTGCCCACACATTTAATAGAAACCTGATTGTACATCTCATTTGTCATGAACATGTGACATAATCTCTTAATGAAAACTATTATTTAAGTTTAGTTAATAGTTAAAAACTATTATTTC